TTCAAGATCTTCAAGTTCAAGTTTAAGAATTTCGGCCTTACAATTCTCGCTCTCCTGCAACTACAACCAGGAAATGTTCATATATAAAATAGAAACTAGGGAACATAATAGAACTAGGAAACTTACTGAACAAAAGAATCAAGTTTTACACCGGCGAGTCATGTGTTTTTTACGGATAGAAATGTAACAGTTCCCTTCACTTTCAATTGTCGTGATGGAGCGAAAGACAAATTTAATGACATGTCGTTTGATCACTACGAAAAATGAATAACGCGGGTAAAATTTCCAGAAAATGGAAATTTAAATTTCTTGCTCGAAGGAAGAAACGTGGAATGTTGAAACTTTTCGTAAGCTGTTACAGTATCCTCCACAACCCAACCCCACCCCATGTTTTTGTTTCCCCTGTTTTGCCATGCACAAAGTGATAACAAACAACTCCGATCCTCAGAAATGATTGCCATGTAAATTCTCTTGGTAATACCAATACATTACCTGGCAAAAACGTGACGAGAAGAAATACTTTCATCAGCCTAACGATGTCCTCTTGAGAAGACACCAAATTCTTGATTCGTGATTTACAAGGATTTTGTAACAGCTAGAAAGGGGAATTCAAATCAAATATTGGGATTTAAAGAGCTTATTTCGCGAGGAGACAAGCAAAAGTATTCAGAGTTCTAATTCGACGACTTGATGAGCTGCATGTAAAACGCTCATAAATTGAGACGGACAAATTACGTCACAGAAGTTTTAAATACAATGGTGCTCTTTTAAAAGAAGACTGTTCGGGAACCTTATTTTCATTTTCAATTGGATTCAAAACACAAAGCTTATTTTTTATCAGATCGAGATTGGACGCTTTTAAACAAAACCCTTAAAGAGTCGAGTAACAGTTTGACTACAGGCAACAATCAAGCAAACTGAAACAACCATCTTTTTCACAAGAACAAACAAAACAAAAATAATACAAAGAACAGAACATTTCGACCTCAGAACTTCTTATTAAAAGTGGAATTTCGGTTTGTTGAGATATGCTGGCCGTATGATTAGCGTG